GGGCTGGGGGCGGGCGGGCGGGGGGAGGGGGCCTCGCCCGGAGGGCGCGGGCGGGCAGAGTCCGGTAACGGTCTGAGGAGTGCGGGGCTGAGGCGGTCCTGTGTCGCAGATGCAGAGCTGAGCCAAACCCAGCGCCTTTCGTCTCGCCGGGGAGTGAATCCCGCGCTTCTTGGTGTTCTCCCCCCCACACCCCCCCCCGGCACCACTGGCGAGCAGCGCACATCCCCGCGGTGCGAGCTACCGACGGGAGGCACCGCCTCTGGTCGTCTCTCGTCGGGTCTTTAGGGACGCGCGTTCCTGCAGGGAATTAAAACTTTTGCCGAATTTCCTCCGGGAGCGTATATGCTCTTCTCATACCCTCAACTTTAAGCTTTTAAGCTTTTTTTGAAGTAAAAAGATGCCATATTTTTTCTCCATGTAAACAACTCTGTCTGAACTGTGTACCTGTCCTCCACAAGAGATCTCGGATATGACAGGCATACATGTTTTCAGTGTTGAGGGAGGTGGTAGTAATTCAGGTAAAAGCCACGTCTGCAAAAATGAAAGTGTGTGTGTGTATACTTTTATTCACATGAATAATCTGATTGTGTGTGCATTAATACATAGCTATGCACACCTTTGATTTAAGTTATAAATGACAAATGGAAATTACTAAAACTGTCTTGTGGCCATGATACTTGTAAGAGAATCTTGCCTTACAAAAACACTTTATGAACGAGGAGTAAAGCTGGGAAGTCTGATGGTATTCCTGTGTCCACAAAAACATTTGAAGTTGACAGCCGACAGTATTCCGCGTAGCAGCTTTGTCTTCTCTCCCATTCTGAACACCTTGGGAAAAATAAAATTTGACGAACAAGTAGCTGTGTGGTTTGGTCCCCACCACACCGTGTGGTCAAAGCCTTAAAACCCAGTTGCCCCATGCAAGGTATTCCAGACCTGAAGAGCAGTGAATGTGTGAGCAGATCTTAAGTTATCTTTAAGTACCTGGATGTAAGATAAGAATTCCTCCCTGTCCAACAATAGCCTTCATTTCCACTCACCACTGACAGCATCTGAGATTTATAGTGTACCAGAAAAAAAGATATGCTGGAGAAAACACAAGTTACTCTATAAACAGTTCCCTTCTCTCCTAAGAGCAAGAGCCCTCGCATGATGAGTAAAGGTGAATAATGGCTCTTCCTCTGACGG